AATGAATTGTTTTCAAGCAGCCAGTACTTAAATGTTTAGCCATGTAAACATATCTAACATGCCAAGAAAATGAAAGTGATAACAGATACCCCAAACCCTTAAAAAGGTCAGATTCCCACACAAAAAAACCCAAAAAACCCCACACACAGTAAAGGGGAGAAGGCACAGGATTATCAAGGCTTTTTTAAAAGTAAAAAAAAATCAATTTGCCTACACAAGGAGAAAGTTTTCTTCTTTTGGGAGGGAAGGTAAAGGTAAAGGCTTCCCTTGCTTGAAAGCCAGCCGAATCTGACTCTAGGGGTGTGGTGCTTATCTTCATTTCCAAGTCAAAGAGCCAGCGCTGTCCAAAGATGTTTACTTGGTCATGTGGCCAGCATGACTAGATGCCAAGGTGCACAGAACGCTGTCCCAAAGGGGATTTTTATTGCATTTTCTATAACTAAACACTACATGAAAAAGTAAGGGAGGGTCTACAAACTATGGGATAAAGAAAAGAAACCTCTAAAAACCCAAGAGTGGGTGTCATACAAACTGCTTTAACAATATTACAAGCTTATATATCTGATTACTCATGTTAAACCATTGAACATGTTCATCTAGTAAACTTCAGTTCTAATTGAAAACATCATCTGCTGTGACTTCATAGAGCCTAAGAATTCTTATTTTAAACATCTTTTAGAGCTTCAGAACTATGACAACAAATCATTTTTTGTCCTTTGCCTTCCTCAATTTATATCCTTGTTTTGGGGCCACAGCCCCCAACTTTGAGTCTGATTCTTCACCAGAAGATGACTCCTCTCCATTTCCGCCTCCTTTCTTTGGACTGTCTTTTTCTTCTTCTTTATCCACATCTGCTGGGAAACTATGAAGATGCAAGAATTCTCTTGCCTTTTCCTCAGTGTCAATTTTCTCTTTTCCATTCACAAACTTAAAGATGACTCCTTCTGCAAAATCCACCTGTAGAAAATTTGTTTCTTTTGTAAAAATGCGACCAAGTCCTTATATTTGCGTCTTCTCTTCCTTATTTCGAATGGAATGTCCTTTAAAACCTTTATCTCTTTGCCCTTGATTTTCAGGGTAACTCCATTAGCCACTTTGAGAATTTGGTCTCTCGTATTCCTTCTGGAGAATCTCACCATCACTTCTCCTGGCAGATTATTTTTCCTTATAAATTCTGCATACAATCTATAGACCGTATCAATATCACTTTGCAAAGTCATCGCTTTAATATTTGCCATTTGCCCCAGTGCTTCGCACATTATCCGTGTGAGATTCTCCCCTCTTTCCTCAGGAATTCCCTGGAACCTTAGGGCATTAGCTTGCCCTTTCCATTTGCAACTGTAACAATTGGGACTCGTCTGTTTGTCGCTTCTTCTCCATTGCCTGCATTTGTTTTTCCAGCTTTTTGGTATTGGTATCAACTTCTTTAAGTTCCTGTTCAGTTTGATCCATTTTTTTGACAGTCTCATTTATTTGAGCTTACTGTGTATCTAATTTTTGACTTATCACTGTCACTTGTTCCAGCAGAGGGCGTAGTGCTTCATTCAAGATCCTTTGAAGGTCTGAGCTTGTGTCCTGTCTAGGCACAACACTCGCTGGACTTGCACTTCTGATATCTTCTCTTTCTCCTCTTTCCTTGTTGGAGGCGCCATTTTTGAGGAATTGTTTACTTTTTGTAAAAAGTTATCACAGTCTCTAAAGTTCTTAAACGTCCTTTATTTCAGTCTTTTTCACTTCAGAAGCCTGCCCCCCCGCTTTAACAGTAAAGTTCTCTTTATGTTTGTCTTCTTGGAGGAGAGTCCCCTCCCCCCCTTGCTTCCCCCTCTTGCTTCCCACGGGGCGGCTTTTGGCTCTTTTTGTTGTTCTCGCTTCAACTTAACTCACAGTTCAGTGGCAACACGATTTTCAGTTCACTTAAATTTCCAAGTTGCTTGATCACCCGGCGCTTGATCCAGTGTGCGCTTCTAGTTCCATTGGGAAACTCTGTAGTAGGACCGTCGGGGCATGGATGCCCCCCACCACCATCAGGATCACCGAAGGGGAAGCATTCTGGTGCCCCATGGCTTGGAACCAATCTCAAGGGTTCCATGGGGGATGCGGACAGTCGCACCCCCTCCTAGCCATGGGTTCTGGCGATCATCTCCCAGAGGACCGGGAGAATGCAACCGTCATAACGAGCGCCAAAACCAGAAGTCCTACGCTGTCACCTTCCCACCAAAGTGGTAACTATTTATCTACTTGCAATTTCTTGCTTTCGAACTGCTAGGTTGGCAGGAGCTGGGACCAGAGACGGAAGCTCACTCCGTCATGCGGCACTTGGGTCTCGAACTGCTGAAGTAACGGAGGGGGGGTTCAAATCAAGAGAGCCAAAAAGGCAAAGAGTGAAGGCTGAGTGGCTGGAAAGATGAATGAGTGCCTTCTGAAGTGCAAGGAAGCAAGTGGCTATGGCAAAAGAAAAGAAAAGAAAAAGGTACCAATTGCTGCAAGCACAGTGAAAGAGCAATGATCATTCCTATATTCCTGAGTGTTTAAAAAAAAAATACTTCAAATTTTGCCAACACAAGGGATAAAACTTCCTCATTACTGAGGTGGAGGAGAGACAGTATAGTCATGGTCCAGTCAGTGGAAAGTGGGCAGGAAGATGGGGTAACCAACAAAAGTGCAGGAAACATTATACATGCAAAAAAAACACAATTAAATTTTGATTGCTAGGAAAAGATCGAGGTAAAATTGATCCTGAAAGAACTGGGGGGGGGCACAAACCCATGGACAATGTGAGGAAGAAGATACTGGCTCCAGAAAATGTGTGGAAGACAGGGGTTAAATCAAACAGTAAGATATCAGAACTGATGCAAAACCCATAAGTGACCTTAAGCAAACATCTCAACTTCAGCTCTACAAATGGGAATAATACTGATCTATATTGTAGGTTTGTTGTAGCACTGTACAAATGTTAAACCGTTCCATATACCAAATCGTTGTTGAGAATGAAGGGATTTTCTATGCAGTCTGAGATACAGCACAGGGTGCCCATGTGTGGGACATTCAGGGGACGGGGGAAAGGAAAAAAAAATTGTTTGTGCAAATTCCAGGAAATTGTTTTTCCACAACTGAAATGTTTATTTTGTTGTTTATAAAGAGGATGAAGCATGTTGAAACATGTACAATTACAGTTGATATTTAATGTTATCATAGAAATAAACAAGATTAAATCTGGCACAATGTTCAGCAGAAATCTGGGAATGATCCACCCAGTTTTAAACATTTTAAAATCTTTTTTAGTTCAATGGGCAAGTCAGGAATGTACTTCTTTTGTACTTCCAAGAAAAACCAACGAGACTTTCTAAAGTTTGGGTCGATATTCAACAGTATTCAAAGCTTGGAGGTATAGCCAGCTCAGATCACTTAGGTATGACAGTTCTCTGTAATAAACAACATAGCAACAATGGAAGTATGTTCTCCAAGAACAATTTAAGTTCTGAGGGACAATTGACATGTTAAAAGTCCAAGCAAGTGGTATGATGACTGTTCCATTCGGAGAAAGTAACACATAGCACCATTTACTGACTTCTCACTTTCAGATTTCTCACTTCTCATAACATGAAAACTGATCTCAATGTTTTAACAACCTTACCACCCTCAAATGCTGAAATGACCATTAAGATTTCCAAAAGAAGGAAATCTGAACTTGAGAGTGAGAAGAAGAGATCAAGAAAACAGATATGTTCAGTAATGTCTTAAGTCAACTAGAAGCTACGATAATGAGTCCAATCTGAATACCTAAAAATACGCTCAAAGGATCCAGTTCCTTGAGAAGCCCTTTGAAACATATAATATGCACTTCATCACATGTAAATGTAGCCATTAATTTAATATATAAATATAACAAGGGGACCTACAATCCCTTTTGATGGAAGGAGAATGGCTACCAGATGCAAGGCCTTTCCTGTTGTAGTGCCTTTTGTGTGGAATTCTCTCCCAGCGTCTGTTCACCTGCTACCTAGTCTAACATTTTAGAAATCTGGTGAATATGTTTTCTTTTCTCAAGTTTTTTGGCAATAGGTAATTTCTGACATATATGTTAAAGTTTTCCTTAAACTTTTTGACTGTTTACTGTTTTGTATCACTGCTGCTGCTTATTCAAGTATTGGTTTACGTTTGGATACTAGTGACTTTATTATAAATTAATTGCTGGGGAAGACAATACCTGTTGTCCTGAAGTTCTGGAAAAAAAGGCAGGATAGAACGGTAATTAATAAAATAAATCACAGAAAAATGTGAAACACTGTGCACAGCAAGGCCAGTTTGGTGTAGTGGATAGAGTGTTGACCAAGGATCTAGGAATCACAGGTTTGAATCTCCACTCAGTCACTGAAGCTTGCTGGGTAACCTTGGGCCGGTCACACACACACACACACACACACTCAGCCTTATCTGCCTAACAGGATTGTTGCTGTGAGGATAAAGTGGAAAAGAATTACGTAATCTGCTTTGGGTCCCCACTAGGAGAAAGGCAAGGCATAAATGAAGTGAATAAAGAGAATTAACTAATATTTATTTTTCTATTTACAAGTAGATTTGTCCTTCCTCCAAAGAGCTAAATGCAGCATTCATGGTTCTCCCTTCCCCCATTTGATTTTCACAGCAATCCTGTTGGGTAGGTTAAGCTGCAAGAGAATTACTAGCCCAAGATCACTCAACAAGCTTGAGCACAAAGGAATGCACATGTTGATCAGATCTCTTCACTGAAATGAATGAGGAAGCAGTCTGGACACAGGTGACTATAAGGATTCTTGCATCATGACTGGCCTTCTACAATCAATACATATCAGCACAAACAAATGTTTCATAACAGTTTCTCTTACAAACATTCCTCTTCTTACATGGTGCAGGACAGCCACAATCTGGCAAATATGAGGGCAAGGAAGAAACACTTTAGATCTTATCTTTAAACCTGGGGAGAATGGCAAAGAGGTGGGAATTTCAGAACATTAGCTGACCTGTAATATTTGTGCGGAATATTTGTCATCCAAAGCACTGATAAGACCAGCACAAGGAATCTGAAAAAGTATAAATATTGACATATGTCAAATCATCTAAAAAATTCAACAGTTCATCAAATAAAAAGTTGTATTTAGTGCCTTTAATTTCACAAAAACAGAATCTTACCTTTGGTTTGCAAGTCACATCAGAGGAGACACATATTTGTTCCCTGGCATCCCAGGTGCAGTTAGAGTCTCCACATTCTGAGCATCTAGAAATATATCAAAAATGAATTTACACAATTGCATGGGTTATTAGGAGGATTATCTAAAACCTGGGGGAGGCACAGATCTATAGGTGCCTGCTAGATTCATAGGTGCCTATTTGCCACAAAATATTAAGTTTTGGGGCACAAATACATTTGTTATGTATATCATTTATTGTTGTAAGTAGAACTGCATAAGAAGACAGTAGTCTCAAGTGTGATTTGTCCAGCGTAATAGATCATTCTGGTTATTTGTTTGCACAATGATATCAACATAAGCATGAGCAAAAAATAAAAAGGAGGGTTCGGTGACACCACCAATTATGCCACTAATGACAACAGCACCCTCCCTTGAAAATACCTGATGCCTGAGGTATGCTGGGTAAAAATACGTGACACAGCATTTTCAGCAGTGGCCCCAAAATTCTGAATTTGTTTAATTTTAAGGTTCACTTGGCCCCTTCAGTCTATTATTTGTATTTATTTGTTTATTAAATTAGATTTATTAGACTGCCCTTCCCTGCAAGCAGGCCTCATGGCAGCTTACAACAAAGCAAGTACAATTGTTATATACTGGGATTGAATCATTCCTGATTGAATCACCCGAGAGACTGGCTGAGCTCGGAGCACGAGGAAGACAGGTTGCTTACCTGTAACTGGTGATCTTCGAGTGGTCATCTGTGCATTCACACTGGGGATATAGTGTGCCTGTGCCAACCTCGATTGGTACTTCTTAGAAAGCGAAAAGGATTTTCGCACCAGCCCCACTGCGCATGACTAGGGGAGGGGCAGGACAATCCCGCCAGTTCCTTCTGACCACTGCCATCAGTCTCAGAGCAAAGAACAAAAGGACTGAAAGCAGAGGGGAAGGAGAGCAGGTGGTGTGAATGCACAGATGACCACTCGAAGATCACCAGTTACAGGTAAGCAACCTATCTTCTTTGTGGTCTCTGTGCATCACACCTCTGGGAGATTAACAAGCAAAAAACAAGCCTACCTGGAGGAGGGAGCTGAAGGTCCTAGACTTGCACTGCCTGTAACACTGCCCGTCCCACCGCAGAATGCTGATGAAGACACACATCCAAGGCAGACAAATGTGTGAGGAGTAGCCCAGGTTGCAGCTCAACAGATGTCACTGAGCTGCCTGGGTGGGAATGCGCTTGGAGCGGACCCGGAAGTTGTATTTTGGCCAGCAAGTAGCACAGTTTAATTGTTTCCACAATCCACTTGGATAGATGCTGTGAAGAGAGCTTCCTGCCTTGCACAAGTGTGTTGTAGGAGACAAACAAGGCTGGTGACTGCCAGAAGGGCCTTGTCCTATCTAGGTAGAACAGTGGGGCTCTTTTTATGTCCAATGTGTGAAGACTACCTTCCTCGTCGCTCACAGGGGACGGGAAGAATGCAGGAAGAACAATGTCAGCTTGCAAATGGAACTCGGAAACAATCTTGGGCAGGAAAGACACATCCAGGGCCAAGGTGACGCCATCATGATGAAAAACTAAGTACAGTGAATCTCAACAGAGTGCAGACAACTCGCTCACTTGTCTTGCTGAGGTAATAGCTACCAAAAAGGCAGTCTTCCATGAGAGAAGATGTAGACTAGACATGGCCATAGGCTCAAATGGTCTGCCCATCAGCTTGGACAGCACTAAAGGTAAGTCCCAGGTGGGGGTAGGGCCATGCGCCGGAGGGAAGAGGTGAGCAAGGCCCTTCAGGAACTGTTTTGTTTGTGGGTGAGAAAAAACGGAATAGCCACCCACCGTAGGATGATTAGCGGAGATCGCAGCCAGGAAAACCTTCAATGAGGCACAACTAAAGCCCAAGTCTAAGCGGGACAATAGGAATCCAAAAACTGCGACCAAGGTCGTAGGAGGCAGAGGTAAACCTAACGACTCAAGGTAAGTTAAAAATGTCTTCCATTTCCCATCATAGGAAGCACGCATAGCCAGTTTGTGACAGTTCAACAGAATGTGATCTATCCTGCTTTTAAGCTGTGCTAGGGGATCCTCCACGCCATGAGTTTGAGGCGTGGAACATCGTGGTGGAGCACTTGATGCCCCTGAGCCAGGATGAGATCTGGTGCTGGAGGAAGGTGCACGAAGGAACCTTGGGACATGTGGAATAGAGTCAGAAACTAATGCTGACGCGACACATGGGGTCATGAGGATGCACCAGGGCTGCTCCTGTGGGGACGGCAAACCTCTGGAGGCATGCCCAGAGGTCTCTGTTCCCACAGAGAGATTGGGCAGTAGTGAGCAAGGTACTGGCGAGATCATTGAGAGAAGAAACTTGGCTAGAGTCGGGTAAAGATAAGAAGGTGAGCTGTGGGCAGAGCACATCCTGTTATTCTAGTTCAGAGTCTGCTTGTAGCTTTTCAATATACAGGGCAGGGAGGAGGGAAAAGGGGGAAAGCTAAATAAAACGCTGCTGAGCCAGTCTGGGTCAGACAGCTTCTGCAGATCTGTGTCTCATGTCGTTCTTGAACCCTCAAGCCTTCATGCTCCTTCATGAGCTTGCTCAGCACTTTGGTAAACAGAAGGATTGGTGGGAACAGGTACACGTGCCTGTGGGACCATGGGTAAAGGAGACTGTCTCCCAGAGATAGAGGGTCCCATCCTGCCCTGGTACAGAACAGGTGACATTTTGCATTTTGATGCATTGCAAACACATCTATTTCTGGGTGACCCCATCTGTCGAAAACTGGTTGGAGATACTCACAGTTGATTTCCCACTCGTGAAGGGATGCTCCCCCCCCCAGCTCAGAAAATCTGCTTGCACATTGAGCAGCCTGGGCAGGTGAGCTGCGAGGGGGAACACGCCCCATGATTGGCAATCTCCAAGGCTAGTCAGCAGAGTTCCCTGGACACTGTTCCCCCTTGCCGATTCAGGTAGCACAATGCTGTAGTGTTGTCAATTAGGACTGCTACCGTGTGGTGAGCCATGAGGTGGCTAAAAGATCTGAGGGCATATTGGATGGCCAACAGTTCCAAAAAGTTGATGCGCTTGTGGGCCACGTGAGGTTCCCACCTGGTGCCCATGCATACACCTTTGAGATGTTCTCCCCATCCCCACAGGGATGCATCCATGGTGAGGGTCATTTCAGGGCTGGGTGCATGAAATGGGGCTCCCTGAAGAAGGCTTCCTGGAGTTTCCCACCGCTTCAGGAAGCCAGCACTTGTGCAGGGAGTACAAACTGTTGAGATTGAGGCTGCCATTGTGGATGGAACCTCTTGAGGAACCACAGCTGAAGTGGTCTCATCCATAGTCTAGCAAAAAGTACCACTGTGGTGGCAGCCATCAGCCCTAGGAGTCATTGAATCTGTTTTGCCGATGCATCTCCCTGTTTCTTCACTAGGTCAATGAGAGTGATAATGTTGTCTGCCCTCTTGGGAGGAAGAAAGGCACGGCAAACCTTTGAATCCAAAATCGCCCGATGAACTGGACTCTTAATGAGGGAAGGAGCACTGACTTTTTTAGGTTCACCCTCAGGCCCAGAGCATCTATGGTAACCAATGTCAAATCGATATGGTTGAGCAGAGTCTCTCTTTGGAGCTTGCTACCAGCAACCAGTCATCGATGTATGGAAAAATCCGCACACCTTGGAGACGGAGGTAAGCCGCGATGACAATAATCATTTTTGTGAAGACTCTGGGAGCTGTTGAGAGCCCAAAGGGGAGGGCTTTGTATTGAAAACGGCCATCTCCGACTGCAAAATGCAAAAACCCTCTGTGAGATGGGGGGATAGTGATATGGAAATATGCGTCCTGCAAGTCTAGGGTTACCATCCAAACATCTTTGCCGAGAAGCGGGAGAATGCTTTGCAAGGTTGTCATTCGGAATTTCCGATAGGAGATAAAACGGTTGAGTTCCCTCAGGTCCATAATGGGACGGAGGCCTCCATCCTTTTTTGGGACTGTAAAATAACGGGAGTAAAACCCGTGGTGACGTTACGACATCAGGACTGGTTCTATAGAGTCCTTTTGAAGAAGATTCTGGATTTCTTCCAGGAACATGCAGGATGGTGGAGTAAGCACAGAATTGGGGGGGCTTAGGTATCTGAATAAATTCTATGAGGTACCCCTTCTTGACAACAGAGAGTACCCACCGATCTGATGTTATTCGCTGCCAAGCAGCCAGGTAAGGAGACAGGCAGGTGGGGGGTGAAAGTAGATGACGTGTGTCAAAGGCTCTGTTTGGGAACTTTAGGGGTCTTAGCCCTAGATTGAGTGGCGGGTGAAAACTTAGATGTGTTCATAACGGTGAGATGACACAGTGGGTGACTGTTGCCAGTGCGTCTCCAGGGAAGACTTAACAGAGGATCTGCGAGACCATGACTGGTTCCAGGATTTTGATTTGTTTCATTTAGGAGCCAACGTGATCCCTAAATTACGAGATGTCTTAATGCTTTTGTCTAGATCTTGCAAGACAGTATCAGTCGTGGAACTGAAAAGGCCCTCGCTTTCGAATGGAAGATCCTCAATGAGAGTTCTAGTATCTTGTGACAAGGCTGTGGAACGCAACCAGGCATGATGCTTAAGGGTAACTGCCAAAGTCAGTGTTTTGGCCGCCACATCCAGCATGTGCTTAGCTGTGTTGAGCTGGTGTTTAGCCAGGAGCATGCCCTCCTTTTGAATTCTGAGAGCTTGATGGCTAAAGTCCTCGGGGAGGGTTGCAATAAATTTAGAAATTTGTTCCCAGAGAACAAACTGATATCATCCCATACATTCAGTATAGTTCAATGTCTTGATACCAAGCGCTCCAGCGGAATAAAATTTTCTTCCAAAGTAATCTAGGTTCCTTCCTTCTTTCTCGGGGTGTGTGGAATGACTGCGTTTGCCTTTGGAAGAGGAGGTGACTACCACCAAGTTAGGCTTGGGGTGTGTGAATAAAAATTCAGTGCCCGGCTCTTACACCTTATACATGTGATCTATTCTCCAGCTAGAGGCAGGGGTGGAAGCTGGATGAGACCACGGAACCTTAGCCACCTGTAGCAAGACCAAAGTCATCAGTAAGGCTATTGGTGTCGAAGTGTCCATCTGCACGATATCAAACATGGAGTCCGTTACTGTAGATGGGGTCATTGTGTTGGCCATCTGCTTGATGAAATCCCCATAGGATTTTAGATCCTTTGACGGAGAAATTGGAAGATCATCGCCCACTTGTTGAGGTGGCGAGGGTTCCACCGGAGGGTTGGGGTTCTCGTTTCCTGAATGGGAGGAGGTGTCGGAATGGGTGGACTGCTCAGATGGTTCAGAAAAGGAAATGGGCAACATCAGTGTCAATGGGGTCGGGTCCGGTGGATCTTTAAACTTGGGGGCTATCGGAGGTGGTGGTTTGGCTGGTCGGCCTGTTGATCTCAACGGCTGAGGCGTCAGGAAAGGATCTTGATACCGAGAAAGTCGGGAGATATCAGATTGACAGTCCCATTCCACTGGTTGAGGCGGGAACCATGGCATGCCGGTTGTGAAGGGATAAGCCCCGTACATATATTGCCATTGCCATTGATCCCAAGGGGGCAGCACCAGGTGCATCGGTCCCGATGGCCGGTCTCGATTGTCAGGTCGGAGTGGTAAAGGATGCATGAAGGTACTGGATCCACAGTCTGAGTATATGCTTTCGACACTGAAAGACCAGGAGATCTGTGTTAAGTCCATATCATGCTCAGAGTCAGTGAGCTGGATAGGATGCAGTGAAGGTGATGGGGTACACTTTGTTGCTGCTCATGGCCCGTAGAGTCAAGTGAAGCAGCCCCAATAGGATTAGGCTCCATGGCCCTCTGTGGGGTCAGCAAAGTTTGCGCCAGGGTTTTTTCTTATGCTTCTTGTGTTTGACTGGCCGGTCGTCCTTGCCCTTCCTGCATTTTTTGGAGGCTTTGGACTGAGATGTCTGGGCTGAGCACTTCAGCATTGGGCAGTCAACATCTGAGTGAGTTGGTATCAGGGACAACGTGGCTGTCAATGCCAAGGCAGGGATCGACATCAATGCATGTCCCAAAGTGTCCTGTGACGAAGACATCAGTGAGAGTGCTCACTCCAAAAGTGTGACACAAAGTCTAGCGGCTCTGTTCTTTCTTGTCTACTTTAAGAACTTTGTGCAATGGGCACAAGAGTCCATATATATATGAAATAGTGAAGGTGAAACTTGACTTGGTGCCTGAAATATTCCTATTAAGTATGATTCCAGATAATTTAAACTATAATGAAAAATATTTAGTATTGTATATAATTACAACTGCAAGGATATTATGGGCAAAATATTGGAAACAAGAAAATAATCCGAAACGGGACAAAGTAATAGTGAAACTGATGGGAATTGCGGAAATTGATAAACTGAGCCTAATATTACAGGGGAAAGACGATGAAATATTTACGAAAAGATGGTTGGGACTGTACAAATGGCTAGAAAAATAGAGGTGAGATTCTAAACTGTATAGATACAAATGAATTAAGATGTTTGAAAAACAATAAATAAATATTTTAAAAAAGAGTCCACTCAGTGCGATTCCCCAAGGCACAGAAGGCAAAGGGAGTGTCCGTCAGGGGGGGCGATTTTACTACCGCACTTGAGGCACCGTTTAAAGAAACCCCACCTCTTGGCCATAGGCCAGAGGGGGGGAGAAAAGGTCTGCCAGCAGGAAGACCCCAACAAAAGAGTCCGAAAAAGAAGCAAAAATCCGTAACAATATTGTCCTTTCACTTAACAGAAAGAAGAAAAAACTCCGAAAAGAAGAAGAAGAATCGGCCATAAAGCCAGAAATTTACCGACCGAAGTGGAGAAGATCCTACTAGTGCGGTGGTCAGAAGAGAAATGGCGGGATTGTAGTGCCCCTCCCCTAGTCATGCGCAATGGGGCCGGTGTGTGACTGGGGAGTGGGCATGAAAATCCCTTTCGCTTTCTAAGAAGTACCGATCGAGGTTGGTGCAGGTGCACTATATCCCCAGAGGTGTGATGCACAGAGACCACGAAGAAGATCAATAGCCGACCAGGACTCTGGAAGTAGCCAATCAAGTAGTAATGTTATGTAAACAGCCTATCATTGGGAGTGGGGTGTGTTTGGGTGTGGCAATTGCATGCTATTTAACAGAGCTGAGGCTCTGGGGTCTTGTCTTGCTCTTGCTGAAATCATAAATAAAGTTGAGCTGATCACTAGACTCAAGCCTGCTCATCCATAGAACCCACTATTTAACAACAATAAATAATGCAAGTTAAAACCTATAATACAATACCTATAATATATCAGCAAATAAAACAGTACATGTCCCAAGATGGTGGAAGAGAGATTTTAATTTCCACAGATCTCCTGGGGTGTTGTTGTTGTTGTTTTTGCAGAGGATGGGGTGTGTGTGAGGGGCCGGATTTTATACTGTTCCATCACTGTTCTCAACCAAATGCCTGGCGGAACATATCTGCCTTGCATGCCTGTGGAAAGGTAGTAAATCACAAAGGGCATGGATATTCTCTGACAGAGTGTTCTACCAGGCATGGACCAGGGCCGAAAAAGCCCTAGCCCTGGTTGAGGACAGCCAGATCTCTCTCTTAGGCCAGGGACCACCAGAGAGTTCTTATTCCCAGAGTGTAGTGCTCTTCCAGGGGCATACTGAGAGAGGCAGTCCCAAAGGTATGTGGTTCCTCTCCGCTAAAGGTCAAAATCTAAATCTTGAACCTGATCCAGTGCTTCACTGGAAGGCAGTGCAGCTTTCACAGCACAGGTTGGATATGTGCCATCCAAGGGGTCCCCATAAGAACCCACGCAGTCGCATTCTGGATCAGTTGGAGCTTTCGGGTCAGGAGCAAGGGTAGGCCCACATAGAGCAAATTACAGTAATCTACCCTGGAGGTGACCATTGCATGGATTAACGCCCATTAGACTGCAGTTGAAGACCAAATACTCTTAATTCAGTTTTTTAAAGCTGGAGCTGCTCTTAGAGTTATTGTGGTCTGTAAGCTTTTGTTTTTATTTTCCTTTCTTCTACTGTTGGTTTTATTGTTTCTTGTGTTGAAAATGTGGCAAATCACCCTGAGCCTTCAGCAAAGTGTGTGTGTGTGTGTAACAATAATCAGCTGAGGGCAGTATGACCCTTTTTGTACCACCTCTGGAAACTTAGTGAAGAGAACAGGCTGTCAAACCATACTCCAGCTAAACAATATCTGATGGACCTCATATGGTTGGCTTTTCTCTAGCCATTTCTTGTCCTTTCAAAATCTTTGGTTCAGGCTTTTAGGTCTAGTAAGTTACTAAAGGCCCTCTCTGGGAAACTAATAGCATGATGACTTGTAGTTCAGGGAGATAAGGAATGAGATGGACACAGATGCAAATGAGATAATGGGAGCTTAAAGGCCAGAGACCAGGAGGAGTTTTGCACTTGCATTCCATCTCATTAGTGCAAGTAACCCTGGGCAGGGTGAATGCTTGCTTGATTGTGGGCATGTACTAGCTGCAGAAGTGCATGGTCATGTGTTTTAGAAACACACCTAATTGGTCAACAAGGCCAGTCAGTCAGTCAGTCATTTATTATTACGGCAACAAGCCATAGAAAGGTCAACAAGGCCAGTTGATCATTCATTGTACCTTCTGGGTCATAATTTTGACTAGGTTGGGCCTTGCATGGCTGGGAAACCTGCCTGTTGGATTTTGGCCTTTGAAACTCTACCTGGATATTGTGTTTCAATCTGTTCAGGTAACAGCTGGGTCAGAGGACCAGAAAGCAGGCCCGTAGCCTGCATGGGGCCCTG